GAACTTATTTAGTTAGGAGTTAATTACTTAAAGTAAATCATAATTTTTTATTTTAAAAATTAAGAACAAATTTTCTTAATCGATTATAAACGAATATGACAATTATAAAATAACTTACTTTCGGCACATTTTTGTGTTCCATCATCGAGCAGTATGCATTCACATCTATCTTTGCAACTCAATTTAGAGCAGATTTTGTCTTTATCACATAATATATCCATGCTAGCATCGGTTGCGTTTTTGCTCAGCCCACTTAAGCTGCTTGCTTCTTCAATGTAGCTTGCAGAACAAATGTTTGTTCTTTTCTTTAAATGTGTTTCATTAGAAGAGTGAACTTCTAATTCGATTAAGCGTATGCGACCCTTCGTCCAACTTGCCATCACAGCTAACTCTAGATCTAGGTCAATTTCATCAATTGGTGTATCATTTATTTTCTCACCATCATTAAATGATTCGCTAAAATGGGATGATTCAATGCCGTCAAGCAGGCTAACGTTGTTTGTCGAGATGAGTCTGGGACTGTAAATATGAAGATCTGCCAAGCAGCCTGTAAATGGTTGACCCAAATGAGCAGACCAGACATCTGGAGAAATCAAGTGTGCAAGAAGATCAGATATGCGTAAACTTGGGTTTCCAGAGGGATCAAGTTCAGGAAGAGAGGGCAATCCGCCCAGAAAAAATGCTCCATTTAAGTTGAGATGTTTGTATGATCTGCAAGTGTATAAGGGATATGTTAAAGTAGGCACAAGTATGTTAAATAATAGACTTATGTAACGTATTTAAATAGAGTTTCAAGATTACTAATAAATCAATAATATGAGATTTATTCATCCTATTTTGTTGAAGGTGATGAATTACTGGACTACAGTTTTAAACTCGCATAGGTCTTATCAACATCAACTGGATGAGAACAACTTTTAGGAGAGCAAGGATATGTGAAATTTAATGGAAACGTCAGCTCTACCTATATAATTGTGAAAAAATTCGACTACAAGTCCACATCACCTTAAACGAAATAGGTTAAGTACATCTCATATAAATTGATGCAAAAATATTTATCTGTTACCGGAAATAGCATTAGCAGCACAACTTTACTTAGCAAAAATGTGGATTACCAGCGAATTCTGTTTATATAGAACGATATAATTTGTAACACAATCATTTTATAAAAAAATGAATTAAGTAATTAATTCTATATGATTGCTTAGTATCTTTTAACAACTTTTAGACCTTCAGACAGACTGTATGTATTCATAGGGCAAATTGTATTTAAAAAATCAATAAAAGATTATATGCATATCGATTTTCTTTCTCTATGCGAACAATTATTTTTTACATTTACTAAAGAGAATGATTCTAATTTTAGAAGAATTATAGATATATAGATATAGAGCTTTAAATGTCAGAATTTTACTAACTTTAA